TCACAGTTACTTTTGCTGTGAGGAAATTTGCCAGTTCAAAAGTTGACTGCAGTATGATTAAGATATCTCTATCTGACACCATGAGGTCACGACAAGCATCTTCTAAAGTTTGGATTAACGTTTCAATTCTGGAACAGTCTTATCTGTTATATCCACCTCGCTCTATACTCTCCTTCTGGGTCACTGATTATAATACATCCATTATACCTTCTTAGTGCATTCTCAGTATCTTTCATTTTCCATCTTTTTGTCCCACTATGATCAAAAGATGTTAGCCAGAATGTGACACAGTGGAACAAAAAGTGATGCTTTATTCATTAGCTGTTTTTAAGATGAAACAGAGTATTGTTAGAAGCTGAGAAATTTTTGAAAAACACTGACCCAGGAGCCCAACTGGTATTAGCAGATTTGAATATTTACTTACATATGTAATTTGTGAACAACAGAAATTCTTTTAATCTAGCAAATGTGGATATTAACAAATGTTCACCATCAAGTGGTAAAAATTTCATTTATTTAGTGTAAAAAAGAAGGCTAACTCCTAAAAGTGTTAGGGTTTTTTAAGGCTTCTCTGAAGGAGAATTGATGAGGAGCTTTCTCCTCCATGAACTGAACAAGTGACTGAAGAATGTTATCAAAACTCAGGGCAACAAACAAAAACTATACAGACTCTGAGAAAAGGTTAGAATTCACAGATCTGTGAAAAAAGGAAAACCCCAACAGGAATATGATAGGCACTCTGATACCAAAAATTTACTGTTTGGGTAGCCCAATATTTTGTGCCTTTTTTCACAGAAAAACCAGAGAGCAGAAAGACTTCCAGAGGACAATGTAGGTAGAACACCTTAATTCCCACTACCTAGAAGATTTCCACCATTTATCATACACCAACCACCAGAGTTAAGCTCATGAAACAATAAAGAAAATAATCCTTGTAAGGATTCTAAGAAGCAGCCAAAATAAATAAAACAATGAAGGAGAAGGAAGGAAGGAAGAAGGAAGGATGGGGGGAGGGAGGAAGGAAGGAAAGAAAAGGAAAGAAAGAAAAGAAGGAAAGAAAGAAAGATGGAAAAAAAAGAAAGCTGAAAAAAATATAAAAGCACTTAGGGATCCTAATGTTCAACACTCATACAAAAAAATGGCTTGCTGAAGCAAAATAAGTAACAACCCTAACAAACACCAAACATGATCTCCCAAGAAGCAATTTTGTATGTAAAATAAAGGAGTGGATAGTCAGTGCTACCCAACCGAATGATGAAAGGTGGAGGGTAGAGCAACATGCAGTGTGTTGCCAGCACTCATGCTGCCTCACATAGAGCTTTAAAATACTTTCAATTCCCCTACTAGTCAGCTAACACCTTTACAGCCTTTTATTATACTATTTTGCCTTTTCTTTCAATTTCCAAGCCAATCAATTTTCTGTTTTTTTGGAGTCAACTATTTTTGTCAGGCTATAAAGAGTTCATTTCACATCTTAAAAATATTACAAAATATTAATACAATGGAATGCTACTCATCCATGGCAAGTAACAAATGAGTGATATAATATGAATTAATCTTAAAATACATTATCCTTGGTGAAGGAAGTTAGGCACACAAAAATGCTATATAATTCTATTTACATGATATGCTAGCATAGAAAAAGTTTAATTTATATGTGGTACAAACAAGTTCCATATAGTTCCTGGCAGTGGGGGATTTAACCAGGAATGGTACTGGCAAAGTTTTCTAGAGTGATAAAAATATTCTGTTTTGGAGTGTGTGTTACATCAATGTATGTATTACGTGAAAATGATCCAACAGTGCACTGAAAATATAACTTTTTCACTGCATGCAAATTATACACAATTTAAATATTTTAAACAATTACAATTTAAATATTTTAAACAGTGTTCTCTCTATACTACTCAGGAAGACATCTCCTAATCAGGAACAAATTTCTTCTTAATTTTTATTCTACTACTCACTGGTACAACAGAATCAAGTGATTTGACTGAAGTAACTCATTTTCATTAATATCTAGATTCTAGAATTACCTTATTTCTCTTTTCCTTTTTTTTTTTTTTCATCATATCTGTAAACTAACACCTTGTTTTTTGTCCTGTTTTCATAGAGTGGAGAAGAGACTCCATGCTACTTTACATAAGAGAACAGAGATTTCAGTCTTAAGGTTAGAGGTTGACTTCTAAGACATTGCTATTACTTTCACTTCATGGGACAAGACTACAACTCACATTTTAGTTTTTAAAATTTAGAAGTCAACTTCCTTTACTAGTGTGTGACCATCTAGCTTTCAGAAGAACTAGTCATTTATATGCTTTCTGCCCAACTCTTCCTTTGTGCTTTTTCTTTTGAGAGGTAGTTTTTCCCAGCAAAAGAATTACTCTACAAGAGACTATGTCAACATATTGAAAGTAAATTCATCTAAGACTCTGTTTTTTATCCTGACATCTGAATGAACAGTGGTTCCTTGATATATCTATTCCTGGTATCTTTTGGCACATTTTACATGAAACCAAAACTCCTAATCTTCTAAGAGGTTTCGATTTTTGTTATTGTTAATGATTTATATATAAAATTCTCCCAAATCTCACAGTCCTGAGATTTTTTTCCTTTTATAATGGTATGTGTTATCCTCCCCCATATATTCATAAATGATATTTTTCTTATAAAATCTGCAGGTTAAAAAGTACTATTTGCCATGACTTATTTTCTTTTTTAGATCAATCAAAGAACACAATTTAGTCACTTTATATTATTTTATGCTTTGAACATACAAGAAAAAATAGTTGAATGGTTTGTTTTTCAGGTTATTGTTCATAGCTGTTAATTAATACAGGATACATTCTTTTCTTCAGTGATACTATAAAATTCTTTTTATTTGAGGACATACCAATATAAATCTTTGTGCTCTTTCAAAGTCATCAGCTTTTAGGGTTTTAAACTGTTTTATAGTTTGGTTGCCTTATAATTTTTAGCATAAGATACTAATCTCATGTCATTTTAATTCATGGAGTCTACTTTAACAGATATATTGAACATATATGAAAGATGCCATTTAGTTCTTGAGGAGGCAGCATAGTGTAGAACCTATGACACCAGCTTGCTTAACTTCTCCTTCAGTGTGCTTGTGAGATAGTAACTGATTGAGAAGGTGAAGCCTTCACTACCTGTAATATTTTCGAGACAGGGTGTCATTATGTAGCACAGGCTGGCCTAGATCTTGAGATCCTCCTGCCTCAGCCTCCTTAGTGCTGGGATTACAGGAATGCATGAACATGCCTGGCCACTAACTGTACTATATTACAGAATTAATAAAAAAAAAAGCTGAAAAATATCATGCAAAACAAACAATTTTCCATTGAACCCAGAGAGACAAGTCACAGTACCCATGAACATTTACTTCAATTAGATGTCCTCAAGACCAGATGTCTTGAAGACACATGTCCTAAGTTAAGGTGTATCAGTTTTGAAAGTTACACCTAACTAGAAGTTACACCATAAATGACAGAACAAAAGTTCCTGTAAGTTTATGTACTAAAATTTTGCTGACAGTTTCATCATCAGTTCCTTTAAATCTTTAAATAGTGATTATTCACTCTTTAATTCTTCTTACACTAGCTCAGAGTTTCTCAATGTTGGCACTATTGACATACTGGGGTTGATAATTTTTGGTTTGAAGGAGCTGTCCTATTCATTGTAAGATGTTTAGCAGCATTCTTGTCTCCTAGCCACTAAATGCTAGTAACATCTTTCAGGTGTGACAATTAAAAATATCTTTAGGTATTGCCAAATATCCAAGCATTCCAAGTAGATAAAAATTTTTATTTCAGTGAAAATCTAGAAATTATCTAAAGCCCTATAGTAGCTTCCACGGCTATTGTTATCACAGAACCTAAATTAAAAAGAAACTTCTAGAGTCAAGCATAATTATTTCTATATATTACACAACAGATTATAATTAGTTTGAATAAATTATTAGTAATGACTCTATTCATACCACACATTTCTATTGGATGAGCTAATTCCTACTTTATTCATTTTGAAGATAGACTGAAACACAAAAGAGATTTAATTGGAAGAGGAAGTGGAAGATGGAGCCAGACAAAGAAGAAAGTTAATGCAACAGAAATTTTAGGCAATCTGACTCATTTTTATTATTACTGACATTTCAATACATGCATGATATATTTACCATTTGTTATTTTGTGCCTAGACACTATTGCATATGTATATTGTTACCTAATTAATTAGGAAGTTTTAGGAAAATCAAATACTTCCATATTTTTTTTTTAGTATTAGTATAAAACTGTTAAGTGTTATGGGGAGAACTTAACTACTATAGTACAATCATATTCATTTTCGAGTCTATGATTCACAGTAAAGACAGTTATAGTGTCTTTTCTTTCTCATTCCAAATTCTTGTAACATTCCTTTATAAAAAGTTGAAGGATTATCTTCATGATACCCTTCCTCTTACTTATTTACTTATTTGTTTATTTGTTGGTGGTTCTGGGGTCTGAACTTGGGCTTTGCACTGATTAGGAAGGCACTTAACTACTACAGCCATACTTCCAAGTCCTTTTTGCTTTAGTTATTGAATAGAGTCTCTCATTTTTGCCCTGCTAGCCTGGACTGGGATCCTTCCATTTATGCTTCCTGCATGGCTGTGTTTACAGGTGCACACTACCATGCCCAGTTTGAGATGGGGTCCCATAAATTCCCTACCTGGGCTGGCCTTGAAATGAAATCCTCCTGATCTTCTGAGTAGCTAGGATTACAAGCATGAGTCACTGCCCCTGGCTCATGACATTCCTTTCTTTTGATAATCTTATACAAACTGAAATCACAACCCTATGACCTATTTTTATTCATTAACTATTTGATCAAGTAAACACGTTGTTCATGATGTTTAAAAATTCATGCTATCAAATGATTAACAGGATGATAATCAAAGAAAAGTATCTTCAAAATTTTTGAACAGATAGTAAGGCTCTTACCTACAAGCAATATTTGGATCAGCATTTCGTGAAAGTAGTAGCTCTACACACTTCAAGATCTGTTCCTCTGACCCACGAGCAGAACATGCAGTTATCAAAATAGTTAGCTTATCTGTAGTGAATAGAAAAGCAAGGAAAAATCCTCACACATTAGAAGAATATGTAAACTGGGTGCATGACTCAAGTGGTAGAGCACTTGCCTAGAAGAATATGTAATTGACTTCTTTACAACCTCTTCCCAAATCTCTTACTCTTGACATATTTCACCAAAACATAAGACCAGGGATAAATTCCTTTCATCTCCAAAGTAGATGCACAATTCATTTCTTAATTTCCTTCCCCTTTTTCCATTTCTTCAAGAGAATAGAAAGTGGTTAGCTTGGCATCATGGTGAATGTCTGTAATTCAAGCCCTCAGGAGGCTGAGGAAGGTTCTGAGTTGAGGTGAAAATGGGCTATAGAGCAAGTTCCAGCCAACTTGAGCTACCTACTGAGATCCTGTCTGTAAACACCACTACCTCCCCATCCCACCCCCACCCACCAAAAAAGAAAGAAAACAAAACAAGGGGATTAAGCACATAGATTCTGTATAGCCACACTGCTTGGATATGAACAAGTTTTAATGAATTAAAATTTGTCTTCATGAACTCATGATTGGAAAACAATGATCTATATTCTCTGATTTCACGTCTAATCAATCTAACTCAAAACCTGGCTTATACCCTACAGAAACTGCCATTAACTGTGACATTCACTGGTTTCTTTTCAGTCCTTTTCTACTTGATATCTCTGAAGTTGCCTTGTTTGCTGAAAAATTTCTTACTTTGGCTACTATAGCATCATCAGAGATCATGGTAGATTAAAAACAAATAAATGTACTTCTAATTAAGAACTCAGGAATTTAAAATAGGTCACCATTGCCATCATTTACATTAGTGGCTCAATACTGACAAAACATAAAGATTCTAGTCCTATTTCTGCCACTGATAAACTGTGACTCCCATGATTTCATTAGACCTAATTTATATATATGAAACTACTACCTACCCTTCTTTACATAATGAAGCTATTGTGGACAATTAAAAGAATTTATGTGTACATACTCTGACAAACATAAGGCGTTTTATAACTGTAAGTTTTCTTCTGATTCTAGAGGGTGAAGCAGAAAAAGAAAACAATCTAAGCAGAATATTTTATTTACATACAAAACTTTTTTGGCGGGGCAGGGAACAACACTGGTAATTGAACTTAGGGTTTTGGGCTTGCATAGCAGGTGCTCCACAATCAGGATTTTTTTTCTTTTTTTGTGGTACTGGGGATTGAACTCAGTGCCTCATGCATGCAAGGCAAACACTAAACCACTGAGCTATATCCCCAGCGCACAGGTGCTCCACAGCTTAAGTCACTCCTCCAGCCCTTTTTGCTCTGGTTATTTTAGAAAGAGGGCTCCATTTTTTGTTCAGGCCAGCCTGGACCCAGATCATTCTATTTTACGCTCCCTGCAGTCACTGTGATGACAGGTGCACACCACCACACCTAGTTTTCTGTTGAGATGGGGTCTTGCAAATTTTTTTTGCCTGGGCTGGCCTAGAAACATGATCCTTCTGATGTCAGCCTACTACACAGCTTGGGATGATGACAGGTGCTTCCAGCTATTGGTTGAGATGGGGTAGTAGGAACTCACTGCCCGGACTTGCCTAGAACTGAGATCCTCCCAATCTTAGCCTTTGAATTAGCTAGGATTACTGGTGTGAGCCACCAGGCCTGGCTGAAAACTCTGATTCTATTTTTTTTTTTTTTTGTGGTGTTGGGGTTTGAACTCAGGGCTTCATGCTTCCTAGGCAGGTGCTCTACCACTTAAACCCTGATCCATTCTGCCAGCCCTAAAACTGTCATTCTCAAGTACAGTTTGCATTGAGTGATATTTTAAAATAACTTATTAAAATGAAAAAACCTGAGTAAGTATCAAACTAAGACACGAATTTTTTATAAAATAGAAATGATTTTATAAATCATTAATATAGGTACCAAAAATGAATGTGAAAATTAATTCTAAAATAAAATCTATACCTAAAATATGAAAAAATTAACTATTAAAAACATGTTAAAATAGGTAATCAGTAATTCAATATAATAAACTAGATTTATACTTATATGCTTGTACTTTAAAATGATTCAAAGCACTACTGAGTGGAAATTATTTAACAAAAAAGACAAAAACATACAGATTTAATCAACTATTTTTAAGTAATATAAGTCAGCATTTACCATTTCTCAGATTGATCTGTAGGCATTTTTTCACAAAATTATCAGTGTGAAGTTTCTTTCAATGAATTTTTCCTTTAAAAATAATCAAAACCACCTAGTGTAGAAGTTAAAGTACACAATAATGTAATTTGCTATAAAGATAACATATCCATAATTTGTCTTCTTGGAGGTTTTTCAAAACATTAAGTTTCTAATTTGATGTTGCATAATATTGAGACAATAAAACTAGTCCAAAGCGTTTTTCAAACTGTTTTAATTTTTTCACGTTGTGTAATTGCTTCTTGGAAATGAAACATAATCAGTTAAATTTCCTCAAACATCTTACCTTTATTGAAGCTTGCATTAGCACCTCTATCCAAAAGGAACCGAACCAGCTCTACATTGGCAATGCTGGCAGCATACATAAGAGGAGTCCATCCATAGCAAAAGCTGGAATCTACACTAATACCTGGCAATATAAAAACAATGTTTTAAAAACCCCACCACCAAACACAAAATAGAAACAGACAAAAAAAAAAAAACCCTCACTTTTCCTCAATATATGTAAAGTGTATGTTCACAGCAACATATGCCATTCAGTTTATTCTGGAAGAGAATTTCTTGGTAATAATGGCTTTAGAAAAATATAAAAATAGTTATACTGGGAATTCAATAAAATTTGCTAATGCCAATTTCACTATAGGTACCATGTTCCAAGAGACTTCATCTGACCAAGTTTTACTATAAATATTTATATAGTATTACAGGTTTTTACATGCTATCTTTTCCTCTCTAGGGAAGTTACGGTTTCAAAGAGGTAGTAAGTATTTTAAATTAGAATATTACATCTCCATGGTTGCAAATACCACATATATCCCTAAGATATCCTTAACTTTCTTCTCAGCCCAAAACTTAACCCATGAGTAAGTGACAAAATATGAAATTAAAAAGGTAGGTTAAGGTTTGCATATGAAAGCTCTGTTATGAAATGCAGACTATAGTCTGTGATCCAGAATCAACATCATTACATAAATATACTATTGTTGAGAACGGGACAGGATGCAGGAAGACCAGTATGAGGCTAGAAATCTATAAAAAGTCAAACCAAGGGGAGGAAGGAAGAGAAGGGAGAGGAGAAAGGGAGCAAGGGAGAAATAGGGAGGGAGGAAGGAAAACAAAATGAGAATCAAAGATCATCAAAATTAAAACTACTTTGAGAATGTAAAAAAAAAAAAACAAGCCAAAAACTACTACCTGGCTGAATCATAAGTCATGAGCTAGAAAAAGGAGAGGCACAGATGAGATATCAGGCCTTAGATATAGGATAAAGTTTTTAAATAGCAACTGTTTAGAATGGGACAGTAGGGACAGCTTTTAATAGCCAAGAAAAGACAAGAGTTGTAGAACATTTGCCTAGCAAGCAAAATTGAGTTCAAACCCAAGTACCACGGAAAAAAAAAAAAGAAAAAAAGGACCTGAGTCAGCTGACTTTAAAATACTCAAATCATTAACGGTACAAATCCTTGGAATTACATGATTTTCCCAAGCAACACTAATTGGTTTGGTCATAAAAAAAAAAGCTGAACTGATTTAGACGAGATCGGGCGCGTTCAGGGTGGTATGGCCGTCTGAACTGATTTAGGATTGGCATCTGGCAGCTTATCAGGGTGGCGGGCCCTTTGGCTGCTCCTCCTGCGGGGAGGGCTACGCCAACACCTATGGCCTGAAGAAATACTGCTTGGTGCAGAAGGCTGAGGGTCTTACAGGAACTGGAACAGGGACAAGTGACCTGGTGGGGAAGGATCCTTGACTAGGGGGTTTCTATCTCTCACTCCAATCTGATTTTCCCTGCTGAGGTCTCCCATGATGGACTCTCCCCTTCTCGAGCTGCTGATCAAATACTCCCCCTCCTTCTGTCACCCCATCCTTCAGAACTTCAGGGCCCATGTCCTTCATACTCAAAACTGAACCACTTCCATCCTGAACCTCTCAGTTCCTTCCCTCAACCTGCATACACTGAACTTGATCCTCTGTCCAACTATGTTTTGTAACTTTCATCAGGCACCCCAGAAGCTTTCTGGCCCCTCTAAGCCCTTTGATGGAGATGGGTCTGAACTATTCCCCTTCCTTTGGAGTTTGGCTAGACTGTGGAAGGAGGAGGAGCAGAGTTGAGGGTCTGGGTACCCTTTAATTATGGAGTGGGGGTAGACTGGCTGACAGGGCTTGTACAGAGCAGAGAACAATAAATCTTATAAACATGAAAAAAAAGAATGAAGAACTAAAAGACCACATATAAAGTGCTATTAAAATCAATTCTTTATGTGACAAATGTCTCTCCCTGAAATCTTCACTGTATACTCAGAGTGGAGAGCCACAAATATCAGATCAGCCAAGATGTAATACAAGGACAAGGATACAATAGGCAATGAACACAATCCATTAAATTTATGTAAAGCCTCTCTATAAGGAGATCAAGATTCAAATGGCAGAGCTGATAGAGTAGCTTAAGTGGTAAAGAGTGCCTCCCTAGCAAACATGATGCCCTGAGTTCAAACCTCAGTGCTGTCAAAAAAATTCAAATGGCAACTGTCTCTGACTTAAAGAACACTTGCTAATCTCAAGAAAAGAAGGAAAACAATGTTTTTCTGTTCCACAGAACAGAAACTTGTATGTGAAACACTACAAGTGCCTGATTTTAACATTGTATGATCTACAAATTTTATATTCTCTGGCTATAAAGCGTTTCACTTACAAAAATGTAGGTCATATCACCAAGCAAATGCAAATGTGAAAAAAGGGCTCACTTTTTTTTCTGTTGAAACACTAAGTCACTGAAGATTATATATGTCCAATTTCTAACTGTCTCACTTTAACTGGTAGATGTACATGATAATCACTGGGAGAAAACAGCACTAAATCATCTTAAATATACATATACTCCTGACTCAACTTCTCTTCTCTAACAAATACTCCTCTTTAAATGGCTGGAATTGAAAGCAAATGAATGAGATCAGAGGAAAGATAACTATTTTCCTCATTAATCTTTTCTTATTGACACAACCGCTAGAACTATGACAGTAAAGATAGAAAAACAAGTGAAGAAAAAGAAGTAAATGTAGCATTCTGGTATAAAAATTTGTATTAATCATCATCTCTAATAGTTAAAATAAATTATTTGTGGGAGCAAAGATAAAAAAGGCATCTTTCTACTTATTACTATATACTTATTATTGGCTTTTAAAGTGAGCTTTAAACATTTTTATAATTAAAACCAAATTTCAAATGTTGACTGAATACTTTGTTCAGGAGCAAGCTTTGTTCAAGAGACTGGAAAACACATTTTCCCATTAATCATATCAAATATGATCCTTCAAGATCCTCTATTACCTTCACTGTATCTAGTCCTACTATTCCCAGGATAAATTCCCTTTTCTAAAACAAATTTCTGCGTATTTCACCCCAGCCAACAGTAGACACACTATACATATATTCATATTAGGTGTTCAGGCTCTTTCTCCTTTTTAATTTTATTGAATTTCATTCTTCTAGTACAAACCCAAGTTCCACTGCCTGATCACAAACTCAGATCCTTCTTATTTGTTACAAGAATACAGTTAACATTCACATAATGCCTATATATTCTAAGCCATTTATTTATGTATTCTCTCATTTTAATTCTCCTCTTCTCCAACAACCCTTTGATATAATGCATCCTCATTTTAAAAATTTAAACTCAGAAAGATTTAATAACTTAGTCAAGATGACAGAGCCACTGAGCAGCACAGTTAGTAATCAAAACCCAATCTGTCTTGTTTCCAAAATGATTTAGTTTCTACTAAACCATGTATTAGTCTATAGCACAGAAGAACATTTTGCTAGCTACAATCTCATCTGTTTTGTGTATGAATGTTTTGTATCCCCTAGATGGTAAATGCCTGTTATACCTTCAGATAGTTTCAGTTATTATGGTCAATAATTTATGTTTGTATCTGAAGGTAATTAAAATATTTCATTTAATACACAGGAAAACATTCTGGGAGCTGGGACAGAATTACAATGTTTTACATAAAGAAATTGATGCTCTGGAAGTTTAAGTAACTTTCCTAAGTAACCACACTCAGTAGGTAAGAACGATGCAGTAAAAATGCAGATTATTTATGCTGACAAGTAACTCAGGCCTCACTGTACTACAACAAAACAAAAAGCAGAAGGAAAAAATGTAGCTACAATGTACATAATTAGAAACAATTCTTGAGAAAGGTAGACAAATTTAGCCAATACTAAACAAATTTTAGCAAACAAAATTAGGCTGAGATAGGATTATTCAGAGTAGGCCTCACCAACAAGGTGGAAGAACTGATAGAAGGGGTAAATTAAGATAGAAGAAAATAAGGCAGACAGAACCCTAATTCAACTAAGATACATACAACTGATAGATTAATACTATTTCCATTAGAAAAGCAACATGCACCTTTTAAAATAAGAAGCTCTAGTGAATTTAACTGTGTTTACTTGCCACTATCCCTTAACTCTCACCAGAATCTAGAAGCTGCTCCACTAAGGAAATATCTCCAGTTGTCAATGCTTTCTTAAATGCTTCATTCTTTTCTTCTATGGGCAACGGCTTTCTAAATTTCTACAAAAGCATAAAGTTAAAGAAATTTTTGTTACACGTATTTCAATTTCCACCGCATCGGGAAACACTAAGGTTTGGATAAGTACATAGGTTTTGTTTCAGTTTGGGCCCACATATAAACTCTGTAAAGAATTCATGTTTATCTTTGAGTGATGGTGCACCTGACATCCCAGCTACTTGGGAGGCACAGGTAGGAGGATCGTGGTCCGAGGTCGGCCTCAGGTAAAAAGCGAGACCCTTCCTTAAAAAGAATCCATGTCTAAAATTACCTTTAAAGGAGTAGGTAACAATGCGTTTAAAACAAGGGAAGCACCTACATCTACGGCCCAAAGAAGTACATCTGATGAAAACCACAGCTGGGAACAAGCGCCAAAATCTGCAGGTTTGCTTAAGTCGGAACGTGAGCATTCCGTAAACACTGGGGTGTCCGGGGACGCAATGCGAGCGGGTGAAGTCCACCAGGGTGGGCCTCGCCTTCGAAAGTCAGAGGGAAGCCGACACTAGGGGACGTCAGCTTGGCCTCCTCCACTACCTGAGACGATCTGTCCAGACACCCAATCTCCCAGCCGTCATCCTCGCTGTCGCTACTCTCGCCTCCACCCGCCACTGCCAGGCCCCGGAGCACTCCCCGCGCAGCACCAGCCGCCATGCCCTCCAGGCTGCTCACTGACGCCTGCGCACTGCGGGAGTGCGTCGGGCAGCGCGGGAAGCGTGGCATGGCGCGGGAAGGAGCGGCGTCCTACTTCCGGCGTCCTACTTCCGGCCTTGGCCTTTGCGCAGGCGCAGGTCGTGCCACCGCCCATTCTTCTTCCGCGGGCTCTTCCCTGGGAGAGGCCGGACCTGGCATCCTTCGCCGGGAGGATCTGTGGGGATGACGAGGCTGGCCTACCACCAAGCCGGCCAGTACTTCTAATGCCTTTCAGAGACTTTCCCCTCATTCTCTTCAGAGTATTTGCTTGATGAGCAATGTTCCGCTTGTGGCAGGAGCCAAGTAAAACTGAGCTTTCCTCCCTCGTCGCGGTGATCGCCCCCTGCTAAACCCTCTGTCCCAAGTGTGTCCTGGGAGATGCGCTCCTGTTTGCCAGAACACATCAAGAAGCCAGCAAGCCCGGTGCTGGTGGCTCAGCCTGTAATCCTAGCTACTCAGGAGGCAGAGATCAGGAGGATCTGGTTCAAAGCCAGCCCAAATAGTTCCATGAGACCCTATCACGAAGAAACCCTTTACAATAGGGCTGGTGGAGTGGCTCAAGGTGAAGGCCCCGAGTTCAAGCCCCAGGTACTTCTGGGAAAGTACCTCCCAAAGAGTTCTTCACCTTTCCCGTGATTTTCTCCATCGTGTGTTTTGGGCTCCTTTGTCAAAGATCAGTTGGCTATAGATGCTTCAGTTTATAGCTGGATCTTCTATTCTGATCCATTGGTCTTCCTGTCTGTTTTTGTGCCACTACCATGCTGTTTTTATAGTTATGGGCAGAGCTCGGTTTACAAATAGTCCATCAAAATGCTGCCCAGCTAGGAAGTGTAGATGCCCCCCCCCCACACACCCACACCCACACACACACAAGAGGTCAGTCTTGGAAGGAGTGTAGGGGGAACAGTGGACCCAAATAAAACCGAGCTTTAGGCCACAAGCCAACTCCAGGGGTTCCACATGTCAGGTCCAGCCACTCGCCCCACCATGCAAAATAAAGAGAAGCATAATGGTGAAGGGCAGAGAGAGGAGGTTTATTGTGTGACAAAGGCATGCCACAAGAAGAGACAAAGTAATCAATTCTCGGTGTTTACATGAGGGATGATCCCTAAATCCACTATGACTTCATCTTAACTTCATCTGCAAAGACGCTTATTTCCAAATAATGTCACATTCACGGGTTCTGAGTGGACATGAACTTTTAGGGAACACTATTGAGTCCACCATATATATCACATAATGTTTTTAAGACCTATGTTGTAGCATGTATATCTATATGTTCCTTTTTATGCTGAATTATGTGTGGTATTAATTTCAGAGTGTGGTTTCAGGAGGTAGAATGTCTCATTAAAAGGCTATTATAATTGTGAACTAAAGAAATGTCAGGAAAAGTGAAGAGGAGGGGGTGCATTCAAAATTTATTGTGAATTAGAGTCAATATGATTTGTTGATTAGATATGAAGGCTGGGAGTTGCAGAGAGAAGTGAAAGCTGATAGGACAAGAACAAAGAGGAGGAAAAGTTTTGGAGGGAACAGGTAACTTACGTTTTACACAAAGGCAGCCTAAAAACACCCAAGGAACAGCAAGTCCAGATGAGTCTTTTGGTTAAGCTTTAGAAGTCACCTTCCTAAGAGGTAAAGAGATGATTATCAAGAGAGAAAGAAGAGGATAAGATCAGGGGACCAGGAATAGATCCTTAGGAACTGACAATTCCTTTAGGAAGGGGAATAATAAAGGGGCATAGAAATAGTAATCAAATAAGCAGGAGGCAACGAAGAAATGCTTCAAAAATCTTTCACTGAACTAACCTAATACAATAACAATAATAGGGATAATAATGACCATATTCATTTTATTGTGCTTCCTATGTGCCAGTCACTGTTCTAAGGGTTTTTGCTTTATTAAGTCAGTTAACCCACATAAAACCCTATTGAAGTAAATGTTACATCAATTTTACAGGAGGGGAAATTGAGGCTCAGAGAATTAAGGTTACCTGTCCAAGGTCACCTACCTGGAAGATCAGGAAACAGTCCATATTTTAAGGTCATTGCCATCTAACACTTATATAGCACTTCCAAATGTCCTGATGCTTTTCTAAGCACTTCATATACTCTGATTCATAGAATTTTCACTATAGCTTTTTGATGTGCTATTAGCTCTTCATTTTACAAACAAGGAAACTGATATAGGGAGACTATATAAACTGCTCAAGATCATACAAGTGAGATGGTCCAAATTCACATCAGGCTCTCTGGGTCCAGGATGGTGTTTAGGTTTAACTATGAATGTTAAAAGCACTTTTGCCTTTGGGAGATATTTGTTTCTACCATTTGTTTAACTCCCACACTGTACAGGGACACACTCCTTTCCAAAGATTTCATCTTCTCACTAGAAAACCAGACTCAAAATAAGGTATGATTCTTTTGCAGGTAAATCACAAATTGTATTCCTGGCCAGATAAGGATTTGGTTTTATCTGAAAAAGATTTGGGAATTCCCCCAGGGTGACTTCCTGGAATGAATCAGAAAGCCACCTCCCCACTGCATTAATGACTGCAGTGTTCTGCTTGGTTCACTGATGACAAGAGACCGATGGAACAAAGAGAGCAAGAAAACAGCTGCACACCAGGAATAAATACTGCTGAAATGTAGGCTCTTCCTAGTTCCTGTTTTTTTATTTTTATTTTTATTATTAACCTCCAAGATTTGACTCAAACATTAGTGATGCTTAGTTAATACAGTTAATTTTTCATTGACAAATGATGGTGTGCATTTTGTTGTGAACTTGTCTTAAAAATCACTGTTTTAACATTTTTATAATTCATGCTTATTTTTTGTAGGGGCATGTATGATTACTTTTTAAAACTTGCAAGAAAAATATTGGATCTTGAAATCTTAATCTTGTCTGAGATCCAGTTGACTTAATCCCTCTTTTAAAGACAATTTTGGAGGTATAGAAATGTTAAAAATACTTTTTACAATTATTAGAACTCATGTTCACAAGAACAGTCAAAGAAAGAGATACTTTATATTATGTAGCATTAATTGATTCCATGAATAGTTAATGTGCTATTACTGTATTTCTAGGAATCAGGAAAGAAGTTGTAAGAAAGACAGGCAAGGCACTTGATCTCAGAAATGTTTATAGTCTCGCAAGAGAAATGAAATGAACAAATATTTAATTGAATATCAGGTAATGATCATTTTTTTTGGTGTTACTCGAGTTTGTACTTAGCACTTTTCAGCAATAGAGTCATGCACCCAGCCCTTTTTTGCTTTAGTTATTTTTCAGGTGAAGTCTTCAATTTTTTTTTTTTTTCTCCTGGGGTTGGCCTTGGATCCTCCTACTTATGCCTCCTGCCTAGCTGGGATCACAGGCTCTCACCACTGCACTCATTTGTTTTGAGGCAGCATCCTGCTAACTTTTTGCCTAGGCTGTACTGGAACCTCGTCCTGTCAGCCTCTTGAGTTGCTGGGATTATAGCTGTGAGTCATGGCGCCTGGCTCCCAGGTAGCGATAAGTTCTATGAAGAAAAATTAACTGAGTAATGGGGATAGAAGGTAGTGGAGGCAAGTGGAAATTTAAAAGGGGAATTTCAGGGAAGGGTTCTCTGAGGTGTTATTTTTAGTGTGATGGGACATTATGAGGATCTGATTTACATTTTTAAAAATTACGGAATACAAGGAGAAAAGACTATGTGCATAGGAACATACAAATTATGTTAATTAGTGGATAACAAGTACTCAGAGCCAGGCATCAGTGGCTCACTCCTGAAATCATAGCTACTCGGGAGGCAGAGATTAACAGTTTTGAAGCCAGCCTGGGCAAATAGTTCAAGAGACCCTGTAGCAACACAAAAAAGGGCTGGTGGAGTGACTCAAGTGGTAAAGTGCCTGCCTGGCAAATGTGAGGCCCTGAGTTCAAGCCCCAGTACTGCCCAAAACAACAACAAAAAAATGTGCTTAGAGACTCAAAGACCATCAGTTAAGCTTGTGTTGCAATAGTCCACGTTCTCAATCTTGCCTGCGAATTTGAAAGCTCTGGAGATGATTCTTGCCAGCCCCAATCTAAATCAGTTATATAAGAAACATACTCAGTCCAGGAGTCAATATTTCTCAAGTTTTCTCCATTGTTTTAATATGTAGCCATAATTGGAAAAAGCTGTGGAAGAAAGATATTAGGAGCTGGGTCTAGGAAAGTTACTTATAGTCAGTAGAAATATATGAAAAGCCTAGAATGTTGAATGTTAAGGAGTAGATATTTTGTTTGAATTTATTTAAGGATCATTGTTAGAAGAGGGAATAAAACAATTTGTATAAAAGAGAAAAAAGCATCAGGAAATGGTGAAAGTGGATATTGTTTAAAAGTATTAAGTAATGTAATACAGGGAATTAATGATTAATGAAAATTGTTGTGTTATGCTTATTACTTCAAATATTCTTGTATGGAGCTCAGAGTTGAAAATAGTTGTGGAAGAAGGCTAGATGCTGGCAGTTATCTGTGGAAGGGGCTCGATGTCAGATTCAGGATATACATTTTTTGTTGAAATGTCAGATAAGATTGGCTGGTAGACTGCAAGTAGGATGAAAGGGAAAGAGGGGTCAGGGATGACATCCAAATTTTAGGCCTAACAAATTTGGTGAACAGTGGTTGTATTTACACCAATGGCAGAAAATGTCTGCAAAAAAAAAAAAAAAAAAAA